TATCACGTTAGTAGTTATTCCTTGTTTTTCAAAAGAAGCAATGATGATGATGATCAATAATCTATTTTGGTTTATTTGATTATACAGATTTTAAGTTTAAATTGCATACAGTTTTAATACAGATTTTAGAAGTGTCTACTACAGATAAATGGTTCAAGGCATCTGGCAACACTGAATGCGTTGTATCCTCTACCCTCTTATAGTATATAGTAATATATTATAGTAGTACAGAAAGTACTCTACTCCGTGCTTAGTAGTCTTGGTAGTCTGTGATCTGTGATTACATTTAAGACGTATACCAGGGGGGGGGGTACACTTCCATACTTTAGGTTGAGGTTCAATAATTTGCAAAGACACTAGTGCCATCTTATACCATATCCGCACAAACTTTCGAACATTAAATTTTAAAAGGTGCGCTAGATGGCGACTACACCAATTCTGGTTATTCTCGAACTAGCAAGTAGCAACATTATATGACATAATGGCTACCGGCGAGCCGGCGACTGAGCAAGTTGTTGTTTTATTATAGTTTATAAGTGATTTTCGGTTGTTACTACAATAAGTTTACTTGAGTTGGGAGCCCTCTGTTTCTTGTTGTCTGCTTAGATTTTTCATGCTGGAACCACATTGTATGTTTGTGTAGTGTTGTGCGAAATGGACGCTTTCATTTATCATCCCGGTAACCCGGTGGTTTAATTTGGTTTGGTGTTGTATTTTGCGGAATAGACGTTTTTGCATCGTGTATGTTAAATATATATAACAAAAATAAATGTTAATATTACTGAAATCTATAATACGTCTTTAATTGAACCTTAATCCCTTAAAATATAAATATAACCGCCTATAGTATAGATAGCTGTATATACATAACTACATACTAGGAGTGGTCGTTACAAAACGTAACTAGTTACTGAAACTATCTATTCACACAATAGCGGGTAGCAGGTTATTGCAGTGCAACGAAACTATCTATTACAGTAGACGTTTCACTCAGTAACACGATTCACGTTTCACGAATCACGAACGAGCGATCAGTAACAAAACGTTTATTCGGCTATTTTGGCGACGCATCGGCGACGGCTTCGGCTGTTGAAGTAGAAGCACATGAGTAAAGAAACCGACTCTTTACGCTGTGGTAGAAGTACCACCGGTTGTCGAAAGTCGAGTGAGCGTGGGTGCTTTTGCATTTGACTTATGTATGACTCTATTCTCTTCGTATATATGCAATATTAGAAATGACAAAGTAAGTATACATGTTTTTAACAAAAAATAGTTCAAATACCATAATTTAAGTAGCCTTGGCCCGGTTTAAATTAGTCTTGTGTTTGTTTAAGGACACGGTTTGTTTTTACTTTGTAGGCGCTTTTGTTAATATTGTTTTGTGCAAAAATAATAATATTTTAGTAAAATAAGAACTAAATACAATTGTATATATTATTAGTGTATATAATAATAATTGTACAGTAATTAGTGTAGTTACTAAGTGTAAAAATAATACTAATACTTTATGTGATAGTTATCAAAAATGTCTCGAAGTAATGCCAGTGTACCTTTCAAGTGATATTTTTATCAAACCGTGCGAACCTATTTAACAAATAAATAAATTTAACCATTAACACCATGTCTATTTCTATACGAAACGGTAACAACGGTCGCAACGTTTTTCAATTGAACACGTCGTGAAACACTCTATTGCTCTCTATTGCACTTTATTGCTATTAAAATAGAGTGTTTCAAAAGCCGCTATTGATATTCGATAGATAGTTTCGTTTCGTTACTCAAAAAAAGCTGCTACTACCCACCGCTACTAAATACAGCTATCTATAGTCAACATGATATTGGGTTTAGTTCAAGGGATATGATACCAGACAGCGACACTATTTATATTGGGTGACAAAAAATCATAGGAGATGGCTCTCTATTTCTGTATATATTACTCTACTCTATGACGTATACTATAAAATATATATCATACGTATTCGTAGACTAGCATGCGTAGTATCCTCTTAGTAGTCTGTGTAGACTAGTATATCAGGCCCGGTCAACTCTGTATGGACAGAATGAGATACCTACGGGGGCTGAATTTTACTATTGCCATTTGTCAGATAAATGTCTTGTTTCATAATTAGTAAGATTTTGCTAAAGATAAATTACACTCAAAAATTTTGAATACAGAAATAATAATCAATAGGAAGATAACTATGCCTGTCATATTTTTCTACATTATTATATTAGCATATCCTTGACAGTAAAAGAAAAATAAATGTTTTCTTTTTGTTTTGATTTTCAATGAGTAGAAAATTATATTTTTTACTGGTAACACCAAATACCTAAATGAGTATATATTTCTCTTTTCTCATAATATGGCGTCGCCGTATAAATTATTGTTGTTCATGATTGGTTGTTATGTTTGTTTTGCTTGTGTCTTTTACTAAGATTTTGCAAGTTTACGATGTTGAGTTGAGATTAATGTCCTTCATTTATATAATGTGCAATGTGTTAGTCAATGAATCGTAGTGAAATACGAAATAGTGACTCTTAAAAACTACGCTGCAATGGCGGATAAAGAAAATAGAAAAAGTGTTCTAAGTGCAACAGCATCGAAATTCGCAGTAAAGTATATTTTGCGGTACGTATACGATATACATATACACTATTTAATAAGTTCTAACCTTAAAGTAAATCTCTTGTCCAACTTATTGTTTCTCTTTTACCATTTAAAAACAAATTATTGGTTTGTAAACCATTAATTTGTTTTTAACCTACTTTGACAACATTTGTATATAATAATTATATCTTTTGTTTTCAGTTGTAAATTATGGGCGAAATATTATATTCCTTCCCAAGAGCAGTATACTACTTTAGCTTTCCAATGCTACATAATAAGCCCAGAATGCTGTGTGAAAAACATTTTCATGATGGTTAATTTAATGATGCAACCAAGAAAAAGCTCTTAAGCACTGCAGTCCCATGTGATGTAAGTAAAGTGTATAATGTATATGGTAATATGGTATGTATATAGTTTTATTTAAGGATTACTCAGATATTTTATATGGGGATTACTATATTCAGGAGTGACTTTGATAGACTGTAAAGAAGATGATGATTGTTCATATGACCATCATCGGGATCTAACATGGATGGACAGACCACATACAGTAGTTTGAATCCTGTTAATTCTTTCAACTAATTTATAATAATTGGATCGGACAAAGCATCCAAAGGATTGAAGTCTATAAAGTTAGCACAAGCCTTTCCTTACATTATTAAAAGTGCAACACACTGCATATTATTTTTAACAATCAAATTTTATTTTAAATCAACATCAAACCTTAAGAAAGTTCCGGCATCACAATATATGAATAATTAATTACATTTGGTCCTAAACCTATCAAATTTAAAGGCACAACTTGTACAACGCAGTAGAAATACATGCATCAAATGGTTCTCAAACAATAGATAAACACAAGATTTCTTTTCACATAGTTATTGTATTTACTATCTTATTTTGTTATATTAATTGTAATAGTGGGTGTATTATAGAGCAAGTTGGATGAACAAGATCCATTCATTTATTTTGTATTGGTAGAAGGGTAATGTAGTGCCATGAGTAGGGACTGGTTTACTATGAAAATAATGTCAATGAATATAATGTTAATTTAATTTTATATAATAATTTTATAATACTATAATTTATGATTAAAACTACTTTTACGGATTTTATCGCGTTTATTTTTACTTTTTATTTACTTTTATTTTTAATAATATTAATAACTTTTATTTTTAATAATATTAAAAATAAAAGTAAATAAAAAGTAAAAATAAACGCGATAAAATCCGTAAAAGTAGTTTTAATCATGTATAGTGTTCGCCTAAATATAAGAAATCATTACTATAATTTATTTCAGTTTTTATTTATTTCCAGACTAACAAAGTGTATTCCCATTTTATTTTGTGGAATCACAAGCTGGTCCCTCGCAAATTATTGCTGCAAAACCACAAGCAGGATCTTCAAAAAGGACAACATTATATCCACTGAAGAACAACCACAAACATCAAAGCATAACACATAATGTTGAACCTGAAAAAGAAAGTATGTATCTCTATGTGAAATTTTTTAAAATGAAATAAGGAATATTTTTGTAATCTAATATTTAATATGTTTTATAATTTTGAATTAAAATTATTCTATTTATAAGCTGCATTCAATACTTAATATATTGCATATAATATAGAGACAAAATTTTTAGTGTCAATTCAGGGAAATAGATTGACAACCAAATATTATCAAAACACAATTATTATTTGTGAATGTTGCACTTTGCACTTGTGTGTAGTAGCTTATTTATTAATTAACTTGTTTTAGATTAAAATATTGATATTTTGGTTATTGTAGACAATCATTGTGCATATTATCAATTCATCCATGATTGTAAATCTTATTTCAATTCTTTATCATTGTTTACTTAAGTAATTGAAATGTTGTATTCATTATTGATTTTCTTTTCATGTTTAAACCCATCAAATGTCTTTATAGAAAGAACTAAGCTGCTGGAGAAATTGTTTCTTAAGTTATGTATGTTTTTTATTTCAATTTGTATTTTTATTTTGAATAAATAAATAGAAATTTTGTAATTTTTGTTCTTTTATTTAGCGCTGGGATAGGAAACCCAAAAATACCTCAAATAAAAAAAAAGACCGCATTCAAATTTTCCCGCCACACGAGAAGTGCAGGAGGCTGACGATAGATGGCGCTAGTGGTTATATATCATTTCTTAGATTTTGTATGAAGTTGTCGTTCTTCTCCGATAGGAGTAATACGTGTTCTGTGTAGTATATAGTGATCTGTGATACGTATACCGTGAAAAGTTCTCTATTTTCTAATATTAAGTTCGAGTGTAAAGCTAAATTACATAAATTGACTTTTTTGTTTATGAAGGTGTATTAGCTTTTTAAAATAAACGCTCAGATTATTGAAAGTAAACATTAAAATGTCAGTGATGGGTAAAGTTGTTATACCGAACTTTTCAAGTCGCAATTTAGTTAAATTAGGTGCCGCGTTACAAGCCGTAAAATCCAGCAGGAACTATTTTACATACACCCAAGAACTATCGCAGCCCCTAGACCGAAAACCCGAATATGTCACTGCACAGGAGGCATTTCAGAAATGTCTAAAATCTGGTAAGAATTATTTATTTTTACACACATTCGCTTCATAAATCCTACACGAATCGATAATATGCGTTACGTACATATTTTAAATTCTATAATTTAACTTCAATTATTGTTTAATTATGTGCAACTATATTCTGTTTACTTGAATTGTTGCATACTGTTATATATAAAATAGGTACTTCATATCATTTGTATAAAAAATGAAAATAACCCTAGACATATTCCCCATTCTTTACCTCAAGATATTCATATATTATCTATTGTAGTGTTTTCCAATTAGTGGTATGGGCAGCCCGAGCAGTTTGTGAGGTTGTCTGACTGATGGGAATTTCACTGTTATTAAAATTGTTGAGAAGTTATTTATTAACTTCTATTCTTCATCATCATCATTACAGCCTTTCACAACTTGACCTATTACTCAAAGTTGATGTGATCTATTGTTTAAGTGATATTTGTATATTATATTTTAGTTTTTGGCTTATACAACTACAATATTACATTCTTATGATAAACATTTGTTTCTTCTGCATGAAAACTAATCAATTATAAAAATAGATGTAGTTCCTACCACTACTTATTTGAAATTAAACAGTGCACATAAACACACATTTAATTTGTGAAATGTCACTTTGTTTTTCTCTGTGTTTTTGTCAATAAATTTACTGCCTGCACTTCACTATTGGCGATAATCGTTTACAATCGGCACGATCATTGTGCAAGCATACACACAATCGCCTGTAGTAGTTTGTCAAACAGCAAGCATCGAGATGGACGTGGAGTGTGTTGCTGCTGCAACAATTTATTTCATAATGGTATACAACCATTATTTCAATGTGGTGACATTTGTGTCTCGGATTCCAAATTTCGGGACAGGTCTGACAAACTTCAATTAACTTGAGTATCTCTTCCCTTAACCACCCACTAGCCATTTGTATGTACTGAGATAACTAGTGCATGCACATGTGCAACGCTTCACTGTCTGACGATGTTGGGCAACGCAACCGATTGGGTGCCCGAAAAACCGATAATTCATGGATCGAGGCTATCATAGACGATGATCAGCGCAGAGAGCCGAGTATGCCCTCTACACGATCATGCTCGTGCGTAATTGTTTGTAATCGCCCATTATGAAGAGGAGCCATAAAATCAAAATTCTTTTTTACTTGTGGTGTCAATTTGCCATAAAAACTCAATTTAATTGTATAAGCAGATGTAGATTTTTATGGGCTGTAGCATCCACTTACCATCAAATGAACTATGGATGTTTGTATTGTTTTTAACCCTTATTCTATAAAAAAGACATATTGATACAGGTTATGATATCGTTATTTATAAAAAATGTTTCATGTTTGTAAAATTATGTGTTATCTGCATATAAGTGTCTTGGTAAATAGAGGTATCTTTTATGATGATTGTTATATCTTTGTGACTTCATGTGAGTTTACTTCAGTTAATATGCCTCTATAAATACATAACAGGCTTTATCTTTTGACATTAAGTGTATATTTTTTGTTTGTTGGTTTTGGTTTATTCATCTTCTTTCAAATCGAATAATTTATTTGCAATCCAAGTGTACATAATTGGTCATAAATATACCTTTTTATTACTCATCTATTTTTGATTAGTAGGTATTTATTTAGTTTACAAAAAAAATTCATATAACTGTTTTTAAATGTTTTTTATTGTATTCGATAAATTTAGCACTGGATAACACTTGTATAGCCCATATGGATAAAGAACGGGATTATATATGGCGGCTAACCAAGCCCGTACTGTCAACATACACAATACAAATACGAAAACCCTCTAGTAACTATAAAATAAAACAATTTATTTCTTAAATTAAGTTTATATTAATTTAAATAACAGTCAATAAAATATTTCCAATAGGATAGACAGGCAAGATTATCTATAGACATTTATTTTTTACATATAGTAATCTTTGAAAATTAAATTCTGCTACATGAAAATTCACCTGAATCGTCTGAGATCACTTTGATTCCGGACATTCCATCGTTATCTTCTTGATCTGAATCAGAGCAGCTATTACTTTCTCAATTGCTGTTCAGCCCAATATTAATTATAAACTCTTCAATGTTAATTTCATTCACTACCCATTTTACCTTTACCATTACCATTCCCTCATCCGTTAATTTTTCCTCAATATATTTAGTGAAATTTTGCCTATCCATTTCATCACAGTAATTGCCTTTTTTGGTTTTGGCGTTAAAACTCAACTCAGCACCCTTCAAAAATCCATTTTCTGAGCCTGCATGCATGTCTCCTTGGGTTCTACGTCACCAAGTCTATCAACTGTTTATCTTGTTTTCATTATTTGTTATTTAAGTATAGAGTATGTAGTATTATTATAGTGTTAGTTTGGAAAAAATAGATGGATTCAATGACGGTATTACCATTTTTAAGATACAAGGAGGAGTAGAACAAAAAATATTTGGAAAATTAACTTTCTCTGAGATTTCTTATGTAAAGACCCCCTTGGGCTTTAACTTTTTATTCGTTTCATTATTTGCAATTAAAGTGACCATTATAGTAACTAATAATTAAAATGTAACAGCCCAGCGACAAAGAGACAGATAAACTCAGTAATAGGATTCCTTTGGACACTCCACTGGGTAGTGGCGGTGTAGGAATATCTACTATTCCATATCACCAGGTATGTGTCGTAGGAGGAGACAGAGGGAAACAAATCTGGAGATGGGCAGCAGCATCTTCCTTTATAATGGACTCAAAATAATAAAACTGCCGTTACCAACCCGCTTGCAAAGTGTGGCAACTAAGGCAAAATCTCCCATATGAGGCAATCTATGGGAGAGGCTTATTTAGTAGTAGACTTTAATAGGATGTAACGGTACGATACAGGGCACACTTTGGGTGCGGAACCCTTAGAACGGACAATGCTTGAAAAAACATATATTGAATAGAGAATACGATATTTTGATATATTTTAATAGTACATTGTCTTTTTGAATCATTAATTATAAACAAATGGACAGATACTAGAAAAATTCAGTACTCACTATCTTTTTTAATTTGTGTGACAATCCTGTTGCCATACCCGCCTTTGTATTACTACTCATATTCCAATGGTCAATGCAAGTGGTGCTAACGTTCCAGATTTTTCTCTATCTCAAAATACTTTATTACGTTATATACAATCTATGTGTAGCACTATGTAGTACTTTCCCGCGTTTATACTCCATTGTTAACAGAATGTAGATAAAATACCAAATAATGAAATAGTTAACAAATACGAAATAACTAACAGCGCTTTACAATAAATAATGATCAAAAACAATAACAGCGACTTTACAAAAGTATTAACAAAATCAACAATATTTATGTAAAAAACTCTCAGAACGCATCTAGCTCACAAAGAACATTAGCCAAATTTCTATAGGAGCTGGACTTGACTTTTTTTCATGTCCCAAAACAAACTATAGTTAGATTGTTTTGTTTTTATGTTGTAAACACTATCACGTTTTTGGTTGAATCAACAACTACCTTTTCCTTTTTTTAATTTATTTATTTGCCATTTGGTTACATTACATAGCATTGGTATGTCAAAAGTACAATTCAAGTGATATAAGATTACATTAGGGGTATGTTCCGAAATACAACGCAGTGTACTGTCCAATGCAAATGACGTCATGAATCGACGCTATACTGGTGATTCGTTCCAAAACATTGGACAGTATATGACGTCATACTTTTGTGCCATTTGGAAAAGTGTTGGCGATTATTTTGTCATTTTGTGCTCCAAAAATCATTACCACCTAACGAATATACCATCAATTATTCTATAATTTTTTGTATTTGAATAAATAGAAACAAATTCTGGCATGCTTCATTCGGCAAACACACAATTAAAAAATTGTTTTATTATGGCCGGATATCCGACACAATGTGGCGGCGGCACGTAGTACAATAAAGTGTCAAATGATACATCATTTGCATTGGACAGTACACTGCGTTGTATTTCGGAACATACCCTAGATTACTTGAAATGCATCTACATTTACATTATTTTACATGTCAAGCAAGTCAGAAAATGAACATTTCATATATTCTTCTATAGGTATTATAGAAAGCGACTTATGTTTGCGGCAGCTTAGGGAGGGTTGAAGTGGAAGGAGACAAAGACTTTTCTTATGTTACTTTTATTTTCTAACTTACAGTTTAACTTAACTACTGTGATGATGTGAGTACACAGGAATACTAAACTAGTTAACTTACAAACTAACTTAATTACTACTGTGCTGCCTTAACAATTGTACCTTGGTTATTATAGTCTTGAATATTCTTATGTCACATAAGTAAATTGAGTCATGCTGGTTTTTTGCTTAGCAGGTGGTAGATGACTTCACTGGCGCTGCGAAGAGATGTTGCATCGCTTTACATTTTCTTTCGCATATACCATGGGGACTGCTCTGAGGAATTGTTCGGATTAATCCCAGCCGCCAAATTTCGTGAACGCACTACGCGGCAAACGTCCCGATACCATCCACACCATCTGGATGCTTGGCGGTCCACCACTGTACGTTTCATAAAGAGTTTTCTTCCGCGTACGACCTCTCTGTGGAATAGTTTACCATCGGCGATTTTTCCGACCGGACCGATATGACCTGGGGACCTTCAACAAAAGAGCTTACTCCTTTCTAAAGGGCCGGCATCGCACCTTCAATTCCTCTGGTGTTGCGGTTGATTATGGGCGGCGGTAGTCATAGACTTTTATATATGATTTAATAGTGGTAGAGCCACGCGGCAGCCTTTGCTGTTGCACGCATGGGCCGGCTCAAACCGGGGTGGTACCACGACCTCACAGAAGACCAGCGTGAAGTAGAGGCTTTGCTTCTGCGTTTCGTCTTGTGAGTGCAGGTGGCCGGAGGCCTAATCCCCCCCCCCATGAACATGGTAGCGAAATTAAATACAAGACTACTCCAGGACTCCGGCTGATGCCTCGGGCTGGAGTTTGCGTGTACGTCAGA